GGCTTTTTTGGGTGGTTTCCCGGAGGGGGCCCCCCCCCCCCCCCCCCTTCTGCTGAAGCTCACCGCCAACCATGACTTTGCTTTGGTTCGTCGCTCGCCGATGCCTTCCAACGTCTGCTCGACACATATAGGGTGTTCCATCCAGCCTGATGGATGAGGACAAGATTCGCGAGTACTTTGCGGGCTTTGGGGATTTGGAACTAGTGGTCATGAATAAGGATCAGAATGGCAATCCCGCTAGCGATGTAGGTACCAAGCAAACAATATCCTTGCCACCTGCACTAGCTCTGCTAGTGCTGCGTCTTGCGCGTTGTTTTTCGAAGTGCTTGTGGGTTGGTTGATGACGACTGCATTCCTGTTGGTGGATTGCCGTGCTGGCAGACCGTCTTGGTGCAATTTTGCGACTTGGACCATGCCAAGCAAGCCTTTACCTCAGAGAAGGCCGTATTGGATAACCGCTTTATCAAGGTGCGTTATGAGCTGCGCAACGCTGTATTTCCTGTACTTTGTGTCCGCCTGTCGCTTCTTTTGGAGAGACCGTACACTCACGTGTCCACAAATGCTATGATCATCTGATTCGTTGCTGCTCTTTGGCATTCGATCCACATTTCAGCTCAACTTCAGTCGCCGACCTGCCCAAAGGTGCGATAACCACGATTTGCGTTGAAATGTGCTTCTCTTGGCATTCCTTGTGTGGTCAAGCGAGCCATGGCGGTGGTTCCTTCTCATCAACCATGTGGCATGTGCAGCCTTGCCAAGAGTGCCTCGGACACGGGGCTGGACTCGGCACCCGAGCAGACAGAAGCCGAACCCGAGCTCAAGCCATCACAAAAGATTGTTCCCAAGTGGCAAGCACAAGAGGTTTGATGATGCGTCAACTTGCCAGGCTTTGACTTTGCTTGCATGCAAACAGGGGCCAATTCGCTCATGTGCTGCGCGTGCGTTTTTGCTAGCTTGCCGCCAAAACGCAACGCAAGCGTGCTGTAGACATGGAACGGAAGCGGCAAGACTTGATCAAGGTGCGAGCAGGCGCCTTGACTGTTATTGGCTGCACCATTATCGATTTAACCTCAAGAGTGTCTGTTTCTCACGTGAGCCTGTGCCGCTACACTTGGATTGAATTGGATGCGTAGATGACAATGAAATCTCAACAAGACTTGCTCAAGGAGCTCGAGACTACGACTTTGAGCGATGCTGAACGCAAGAAGAAGATGAAGGACTTGCAGCAGAGCATCAAGCTGCTCAACCAACTGAAAGCAAAGAAGCCAAGCATTCCCATTCCTGAACCCGCACGTCGTCCCAGCACGGATAGCACAGATTCAGGGGCGCCAGCGGCCAAGCGCGTGGCAGCAGGTTCAGAAGAGACAGCCCCTGCCGCGGGTGATGTATCCACCACGCGGGGTCGTGGTTTATATCGTGGCCGTGGCTACACTCGTGGTCGCAGCTGGGGCCGGGGCCGGGGCCGTGGCCGGGGTCGTGGCCACGCGACGACAACCGTGCTCGACGTCACCGGATATCGACCTGACCATTTTGACCTGTTGACCCCATACTTTGCGGTACGTTTTGATGCCATCTTTTGATGATGCTGGGTTTTAAAAAAGGAGGATGCAAGAACGGTACTGTTTTTAAGAAGCCAACTCCTGCCGCTCACGCACACTCTCGGGCTCGGCTCGTTGTTGGCTCCTACACAGTGCTTTGGCAACTTTGTAAGCGTAGTGCAATCAGGAGATCAAGGACGAGCCCTCGTCACCTTTAAGGATCGCCGTTCCGCAGAGACGGTCTGTCAGCCCACCCTTATTTTTTTTTTTTTTGTCGTGTTTGATCTTTTTTTGTTGTTTCAATGCGCTTCTTGCGGTATTTTCTCACATGAGCTTTGGTGTTGGTTTGGGTAGGCCAAAGAGCGTGCGCGCAATTTCAATGGTCGCGCACTCGAGATTGAGTGGTTTGATCCGTTTGCGGAAACACCGGCCACGGAGGACTCTGTTTCAGAACAAGCCAAGGGACAAGAAGCATTACCAACAACATCGGAAAACAAGGACGCTGAAGATGGTGCTGCAGCGACTGCATCGACCACTGCGCCGGATGAAGGTGCAGAGACGCAGGCAGAAGGCACCGATCAGGTGGCTGCCTCTGAATAATGCCCGCTGTACGTGACAAATGAGTCTTGGCCCGCGATACGAAAAGCAGAAGAAAATTGGAAAAGCAGAACAAAAACAGGTCTTGAAATGAATTAGAAGGAGGAAGAGGGTGCGCGGTTCTCCAAACACATTTCGTCCTCGTGATGGCGGTGCCAGCTTTGAGCAAAAAACGGAGGGTGTGGAGGGCAGCCGGAGAGAATGTGATTGAAACATTAGACGTAAAACTTGTTGACAATGGGGTCCTTGCTATAACGGGGCAGAGAGTTGACGTAGGGCATTGTGCCTGGGGTCGGAACACAATGGCACGCCACGAATATAGGCGAGAGCAAGGCAAAAGGTATGAGATTGGTAAACAAGGCGGAGAAAATATTCGTCTTTGTGCCAGCAGCAGGATGAGGAGAGGCATACACACCAAACTGCCGCGCCCGCTTGATGGCCTTGGCAAGTCGTCGCTGCGCCTTTGCACACACGCCTGGGCAATAAAAACGAGAGTTATAAGGCGCCGCAACACGAACAACGCTCATTGGCTTTTGGCGAGGTTTGGAAGGAGAGGCGCTTTGGGCCATGAAGAAGCGGGAGGGGTGGCGTACCGGTGGTGGAACGGCTGAGGATCATGCCACTGGACTTGCTCACAAATTGGTTGAGAAGGCGTACATTCTGCGAGTTTGGCAGCAACAGGGCCCGTGAGAGGTGATGCCAACACGAGTCAAGAGTCAAACATGCTGAAAACACCATTCAAAAACTTGTAGCGAGATGCGAGCATCGCGGCCATTGCTACCTTGTGATCAATCTTGTCCAGGTGACCACACATGAGGCACTTGCCCTCTGACACAAGCAGCTCGGGCGCCGTTCCAGTGCGCTATGGTCAGACGGGAAAGATGGAAACCCCAAATAGCAACGCGAGGGCGCGCGAGGCGGTGAGACAGGCCAGAGGCGGGGGCATAGCCAAGTTCCACAGAGAGGAATGATGTTAAACAAGAAAGGTGGAGAACACTCACCGGCTTGGCCAACCGAGCGCCTGCAGCTATTGTGCATAAAACAAGACGGGAGGACGCCATTTGCCTGTGAGTGTTGTGGCAGAAGGCGAGGAGCAACTCCTCGACCACAGGCACCGCCAACCAAAAAAAAAAAAAAAAGGTCTCGATCGAGTCACCGCGGCAGAAACTCACCGGCGGCTGCATTATCGCGAGCTGAGGCCACACTGGCCATACCCATACGATTGCCCATCTGCCCCATACTAATGCTGGTCTTGAGCCCCACGGGCACATCCGCCACCAAGCTCCGCAAGTGACGCCACGCTGCCATTTTTTTTTTTCAGTTTGTTTCAACAAAAAAAAAAAAAGAAAAAAAAAAGGCAAAGCACATGAGTTAACTTTCAAGAGTAGAGTTTTATTTTACCTGCTCGAGTCGGGCGACGTAGAGTGGTAAAGAATGCTAATACCAAGTTAATGCAGAAATTGTGCCGACGTCAAGGTATTGTAAGCTAGTAGCTCAATCGGTTTTTGTTGCATTTTTAAGGTTTTGCGTCGATGTGTTGCGGCGCCAGCGTTCAGCAGGTTGAGGCCGGGTGTGCGACGACGGCAGTGGTAAGTGCAGTGACGCTGATACTGGCGCGCATCTCAGGGGCAGCAGCAACCCCTGCTCATTTGCTTGGATGGATTGTCACCGCGCTGTCCTCAGGGCTCGCAAAGGAGCTGCCTGGTGGACTCTTATCGGAACTCGACCAGATTGGGCTGCCATCGACACCTCACCCCTCTGGCTCTCGGCTCGTCTTGTGACCAACACGCGTGACTTGAGCGTGTGACTCTCTCAGGATGGAATTTGCCCAAAAGTCGCTCAAGGAAGCTTGCGCCGAGGTCAGCTTGTGCGAAATGCCGCAAGGGGACGACACGGTCGCTTCGGCTCATGCGATTCGCCCGTCTTGCAATGTGCGCACAGGAGAAGGCAGCATCATACGCGTGTTTGGATCGCAATGCCTACGACCGCACCAAATGCACTGCCTTTTTCGATGCATACAATGAGTGCCGCAAGCGTTGGCAAAAGGCTCGCTCCAAACTCCGCCAGAAGGAGAATGACAAGATTGGGCTGTTTGGTATTCGCACGGACGACGAAGATTCGGCCACAGCACCCGCCAAAGATGCGGGACAGAGATGAGCTCGCGCCTTGCTACATAATATGCCGAGGGCGCCAAGCGCCCGTACTCCCGCTTGACCGATGCTGGTGTTTGCTTAGTCGTGCGAGGAAAATATGCGAGCAGGAGCCTCGGTACTGGAGGTGATAAATTGATCAGCTGATGATGTACTTGCTCTCGCTCCGGCCATCGTACATGTTGGACTTTACATCTGTGACGCGACGCGCGACTTGAACTGGCTGTGAGGGCCAGCAGGAGTCGAGAGAACCGACTTAGCAAAGCTTTTCTGTGACCATTGGATTAAACTGTGCCGGGCCAAGGCGACGACGGAAATGATGCCAGACATTCTAGGTTGTGCTATCGCTCGTGTTTGGGGCCGTGGCTCAAATGATGGATTTAGCCCTGAATTTGGGATGCGCCCGGATCGTGTGATGTTTGATAGCCAGGCAGTGCCCAAACCCCTTTTCACCGAGACCTAATGAGGCAAAAATACAACCAGGCCCCCTGGCAGAGATGCTGTAAAATTATCTATAAAATCTTTAAAAATGGACTTTAATTCTCCTGTCAGGTACACGCACAGACCAAGAAAAGCAGCCGTGCGCTGGACAGGAAGTGACCGGCAGGTCATGTGGTCACCGCCAACAATTGATTCAGGCTCTCGCCTGCCTGTGCACCGCAGAGCTGTATGCACTGAGTTTAGTTGAGTCTATTTCGTTGATCATTCCAACTTGCTTAGGGAGGAGGAGGGAGCCTGAGGAGAACGCTTCACTCGTTTTTGTTCTTTTTTTTTCTCAAGAAACCGCAAAGGCAACCGTTCCTGACTGAGCGATTAGCGTCAGTCATGGCGACCAAAGGTCAAGGAACCAATGAGGGCGTATGGAGCCCCGTCTTGTGAGGCCAGTTCGGGTCACAGTGCAGCCTCATACACACACACACGGTCAGTTGGTCTGACCAGAGAGATAGAGAGAAATGTCAGCAATTTGATGTCTGCACATGTCAGCAATTTGATGTCTGCGCGCACACACACACACACACACACACACACACGATGATGATGATGTGCCGTCGGCGACTCGCGTCGTCAATGGCGGCGGCGGCGGTGGCGAGGACCTGGGGGTCGGGTCTGGGAGCAGGGGCATGTTTGAGTAGGATGGGATGTTGGGGGCTATCGGTGGGAAGGCTGCATGGGGCCAGCACCCGATTGACTACTGTGCATGCCTTTGATCAGCCCAGCTTTCGCCGGGGACTGCACTCGTCTGCTGCAGCCCAGCCAGCCACGTGTCATGGCTGCGGTGCCTCCTTTCACAGCCTGGACCCTGCCCGTCCCGGTAAGGCGCTATCCAAAGCCGATCAAGAACCATGTCGGCCTTGTTGTTTGGTGTCCCACTCGTAGGACTCTTGCCTGATCTCCACAACTTGCCATGTACTAGGCTATCTCCCTCCCGATGCCTTTGAGCAACACCAGCAAGCGCTCGCGGCTTGGGCGGACCGACCAGGTAGGGACTACGGACGTGTTGCCCGTTTCTCATCCTGATAATCCCCCCCCCCCTTGATGACGTCTTGAAACATAGCGGCTCCTGCCCAGCGCTCCCGCAACGTCGAGACAGACGTGGCAGCGTGGGATGATGGCTCAGCTGCGGCACTGGGCCTTGCCAACCTCGATGAAGTGCCAGTGAAGAGTCTACGGCCGCCCAAACGCCCAACGCCTCCACTCTGTCGCACCTGCTTTCGCTTGGTGTATGTGAGAATCCCCGGGCCGTATCATCACTCTTGGGACTCGCACAGTTCTCACTGCTGGCCGCTGCCTTGCTTGCCTTAATGCAGACGATACGGCGAGATTGGACCGCTGAATGACACCTTTCACGAAGCCATGCAAGATGTGCGGCGCCGCCTCTCACCAAAGGATATTCTCCCAGTCTTGGTTGCGGACATGAGTGATTTCCCGGCCGCTCTGGCCCCCGCGCTCGTCGAAGCAACGGGGGGCACGGCCGCCCTGGTTCTTACAAAGGCGGATCTTTTGACGGGCAAGGTCCAGGTTGGTTGTGTCTCTGCTGCCTTTTTTTTTTTTTGCCTCCAAGACCTCGCCAGTGCCACAACGCAGCCGCTTACATGCTTGCTGTCCAGTCTTCGTGGCAGCATGGCACACTACTGGGAAAGGCTCGGCGAGCAGCCGCCAATGCTGGACTAAAAGCCCCCCATATTTACTTGACCTCGTCTCTCAAAGACTTTCGCGTGGGCCCTACGTTTCGGGTTTGTTGATCATGGGACCAAGCATGCCCACCTCACGTGGAATGTGACCACGTGGGTTGCAAAGGTGTTGTTTCACGCTGGCTCATGTCGGGGCGCCGTATATGCCCTCACTTCAATAGAAGCTGGCCGAGCTAGCTCAAGAACGGGGACAGGCACTCGTGTTTATCGGTTGCTCCAATGCTGGCAAGTCGGCGCTCATCAATGCCGTGCTGTCGGGGCCCCAGGTGAGGATGAGCTCTGGGCGCAGCTGTGCACGCGCATACTGCTCCGTACCGATTCACTTGTGGCATGATATTTTGCTTGTCTGATGCGCTACAAGCGAGCTACAGTTTCGCCGACCCCAGGCACTACACAGGCACTACAGGAGTATGAACTCATCCTCGACCAACGGGTCCCCCGTCTGCGCACCGTGAGCCGCGTGGCTCACGCAGAGTTAGCCGTTGAGCACCTTGCCGGAACAAAGCGCCCCATTCCCGTGTTTGACACGCCCGGCTACCTAAACAAGTCTGTCTGTCAACGTTTCTGATAACTAACCTCGGTCTTCATGATGCAAGTGCTGGCCGAACTCACAGCTTGGATCGCTTGTTTTCTGTATGACCGGCGCGCGTAGCGCCCAGCTCTTCAATCGCCTACCGAGCCGCGACGCTGCCCTTCTGCAGCAGCGTCAGTATGCCCGTCCCTTTGTGACCATGCTCAAGCCCGGGCAGGCAGTGCTCTTTGGTGGATTGGGTTGGCTCGAAGTTCTGACCGGTGAGTGCTGAGCTACGCTGAGGGGCTCTCAGCTTGCGGCCTGGCCCGCCCCAGCTGATAACTGGCGCGCGTCTTGCCACCTTTCCCAGACTCTTGCCGCGTGCGTGTTTCCACGGCTGTGAGTGGGGGTATTCAAACGCACGTGACTCGCAGCGAGCGGGTGCGCGAACTACTACAGAAGCGTGTTGGCGATCTTCTTCGCCCCCCAACCTCAAAAGACCATCATTTTGACGTCCGTCTGCGTCGCCATTCATGTTGCATGCCTTGTCGACCGGTCCCAGGAGAGCAAGACCTTCTCCCTCATCCTTGCTCTTTGATGTCTCTCTTGTGCTGAAACCAACATGCAGTATGAGGAGTTTGAGCATCACGTCGAGCATTTCACAAGTTCGCGCGAACAGCCCTGTCTTGAGCTGGCTGTCGCTGGTCTCGGATTTCTTGTCCTCACGCCAGAGCGCTGGGGCGCCGGTGCCAGCATCCGCCTTACTCTACCCCCCGTGCGTTGTCTCGCATCAGGACGTTTGTCCTCTTTTCTCCCCTCCTCTCCTGTTCTGGATCATAGCTTTTATGTGCTAAGCCTGCTGACTTGTCTTTTTTTTTTTTTTCCTAGGGCATACATGTGTGTCAGCGAGAGTCATTGGACCCAGACCTGCGGCGCATGAGTCAGACGAGGGGCAAGCGATAAAGACAAGCGATTATAAAGCATGGTGACCGCAGCAAGAGATATGAGTTGGGTGGCAAGGAAAGATGATTCCGCATGACAGAACATGGCGTCCAAGATGAGCTTGAATTGAGACTGCAACGCCGTAAAGTGAGTCAGCGGTGTCTTGTGATGACAGGTTGAGATTATTGGTGAGCCAGCACGATGGCAATGGGGCAATGGTCCGATCCCATGACTGAATCGAGCTGGTACGAGTTCACCAGCCTACCACACGTTGATGTATCAATGAGGCGCGCGGTGTCATGTGCTCAAGCTGAGCAAAACACACAAGCAGACCCATTCAACAGAGCCAAAATGCCGATGGTCGCTCGACACCCACAACGCACCTCAGCGGGCTGTTTGCCTCAAGCAGAGCGTTGGAGCAAACGGCATAGTCGAGTCGCAGACCCTTGGAGTCTTGACGACCCCTGTTCAAGCAGAATCATTTCGTCCCACCCAAACAGCGTGCACGTGAGGCAGTGAGGCAGTGCAGCAGGCAAAAGCAACATCAACAACAGCGCAAGCAACAATACGAGTAGTAGTATGGCGACACTCCAGCGCAATGCTCACCCAGTGCGAGCCGACCAGTAGGTAAAAGCTCCCGTGTGCTCCGGATAGAGCTTGCGAAAGGTATCGGTGAATCCTAACCCGGAGGCATTGCGACGGGCGGAGGTCAGGCCTTGCACTGCATATCTCGTCATATGAAGAGGAAGCGGGTGCATGTACCTTGGTCGAGAAACTCAGTAAAGGCGGTGCGTTCCTGAGGGGTGCAACCTGCACTCTTGACCAAGTGCTTGGCCTACATGGTCAACCCTGAATGAGGCATGTCTTGTGGCGGCGGGACGATGGTATGGCACTGCAGCTTGTTGGCATGCGCACATACACCAGCATTATAAATGTCGAGGTCGAGGTGGGCCACGTTGAGATCGCCCACGACCAGCACAGGCTTGCTTGCTTCAAGCTCTCGGATGTAAGCGAGAAAGTCCACGTTCCACTCATTGAGGCGGTAGTCCAGACGCTTCAGGTCTTGACCTGAGCACCGGTGGGCAGGGCATCAATGTCAACGTGAGGGGAGCTATCGGCATGCAGGACAAAGTAAATAGGCCCGACTGCTGACGTCAAGTACGTTCGCACCAGAGTTGGGAACATAAACGCCAATAACAAAGAGGTCAGGCAGCTCCACGGTGATGGTACGGCCCTCCTGGTCATGATGGGCTGACTTGATGCCGTATTGGACGCTGAGGGCACGAAAGTCTGAAGTGGGCGTGGCGCCCTGCACCTCTGGGGACGAGTCTGAGGTCGATGGTTCAGCCGAGCGAGACGCTTTTGTGGCGCGCAAGAACTGGCGCATGTCTCCATTTTTGGATGCGGCGGGTTTTTTCTTGCTGGAGCCCTTTGATGTTTTGTCCTTTTTTGAGGCATCCGCCCCATCTTCATTATCAGCAGCGGCTTGAGTTTCGCAAACGAGGTGGGGTTGCTGGCCTCGAACAAAGACGGCGGTACCCGAGTAGCCCTTTTTGGCGCGCGAGCACGACCATAGGCCTGTATAGCCAGGCAAAAGATTGGCATAGTCGGCCACGTGGGAGGCCTGGAGCTTGGTTTCCTGCAAGAACAAAAGATCTGGGTTTTCCGCCTATGCACACACACACACACACACACACACACACACATCATGGAGAGGCAGGTCGACCCACTTGTGAGCATGTCCAAAAGAGTCCGGACAAGCAGGAGCCACAGAGAAACAGGAAGGCGCAGTATCTCAGCCAAGCGACCGACCTGAACGAGGTCTGGAAGAGCTTTGGGGTGATTCTTCAACACGGCACGCAGGCCATTGACGTTCCATGATACCACGTGCAGCCCTCGCTCAGGCTTGGCGACGCGTGGCGTGGCCTGGCGGGCAATGCCTTCGCTCTTGGCCTAAACAAATATGAATTTTAGGCCAATGTCTGCCCCAAAAAGCAAGGGACCAGCCGAGGCCAACGACCGCCATTGCCGCATCAGAGTGCCCACCTTTTTGAGCTTGGGCGCTCCCTTGGACGCTCCCTTGGAGGACGCTCCCTTGGAGGACGCTTCCTTGGAGGACGCTCCCTTGGAGGACGCTCCCGTGGAGGACGCTTCTACTGGCACCTGCTCTTCTACCGTCGCCTCAATGACCTCGATATCCTTGCGTGCAAGCTGGCGCTAGAAACAACCCAAAGTTGCGCACGCACATGTGACCGAGCGCGCAGACCGTGCAAACTGTGTCAGTGCACAAGCAAGACCTGGCGCAGCCACACGCGGCCAGAGTCATACGGTACCAACCTTGCTGGCTGCACGACGTGGAGGCATGCTGCTGGCGAGGCGGCTTGCAGACCCAAAGCGCACGCCAATCCTGCCGCAAATCAAACTGGCCAGCGACACGATCGCCGTGGTCGCCGGTGCTCCAACCCTCGTGACTCACTCACCCCGTCTCTGTCCCTTCCTCTCTCTCCTTTCCTCTCTCTCTTGCAGGTCACCGACCTCACTCTTTTGAACGTCTGTCCTTTTCGTGAGCGAGCGCTAAAACGACCAGACAGATAGAGAGAGAGAGATAGACAAGACAGATAGAGCCAGACAGATAGAAAGAGACAGACAAAGCGACAGACAGAGAGACAGACAGAGAGACAGACAGACACAGACACAGACAGAGAGACAGAGGCAGACAGAGAGAGAGGGAGACAGACAGACAGACAGACAGAGACAGAAAACAGAGAGAAAGACAGAGGGATAGACAGTGAGAGACGCAGAGAGAGAGACAGAGAGAGACTAAGAGAGACAGACAGAGAGACAGGCAGAGAGAGAGACACAGAGAGAGAGACAGAGACAGACATACAGACAGAGAGAGACACAGGCAAAGAGAGTGTCACACACCGTTTGTAACGGTTAGTAAATTGTCATCATCATTATCTAAAAATAGAAACGGGCGCAGGCTTGGCGCCAGTTTTTAAATTCGCGCATTGGTGTCCAAGCAAATCTTGTTCTTCTTGTTCTTCTTTCGTGGGATTGCCAGGCACCTCCTTCTCTACCTCACTGCACAAGCCTTCTGGTGTGACTCTTTGTGGCGCGTTTCGTGGGCGGCAAGGGCCTTGTGTGAGGCTTGCGATTTGACACGGGCGGTATCTTGGCAAGAACGGTGGCGCGTAACGAGCCTCATCATGTATCATCTAGCGACCAACTCAGGGCCACGTCCAGCCTTGCGCCTGCCTGTCTTTGATGCCTCCCCCATCAAGGAACATCCCTCCTTTGACGTTTCGGTGGCGAGCCTGGATGATCACCTAGGCACCCTCAACTTATCGCCCATCCGTGCGCCCAGCACGCGGGGTGCATCCCCTCTTTCTCCCGAGCACGTGGCCAGTGCAGGACGCTATCTGACGCACCAGGCTGAGCCCGCCAGCGCCCATCGACGTAGCCCCTATCGCATGTTGCTGCCGTCCACCCAGCCCGAATATCTGGCTGTACCCGCAAGAACCGCACATGCCGCTCGCCGAGCAGCACCGCCGAGCCCGCCCAAGGGAGGGCCCACACACAGCACTGCACCCCAACGCTCCCCGATGCCCACATCGGCACTGGGTCAGGCAAGTCCGCGCAATATGCACGGACTTAACCCATTTGCCACCAATGACCGAGACCACTTTCCAGGCATTGAGGACTGGCTTCGCACACGGGTTGCAGAGGGTGCCGATACCTACGCCGATAGCGATCACTACGACACAACACACGACCACAACGAGAGTAGCCACGATCACGACTCCAACTTTGCCACAGACGGTTTCAACTGGTCTATCGATGGCCAGGCCGCACTGGTGGGTTTGCTTGTTTCTGCCTTTTTTTTTAAAAAAAACAAAACACGCAAGTCCAAGGGTGCTGGTGGAAAGATCCCGGCTCACAGCTCACTGTGCGGTGCGGCCTTGTTCCATGCTTCACAGTTTCCCGTGGCTATCAATGAAAACGACCACTTGCGCATTGACCCCGATGCTCATTTGCAGCAGTGAGTGCAGCAGACCTGGCTTGGTAGTCATCATCGCATCCAATTTTTTTTTAGATCTCACGCATAGGTCCTGGCATCGGCCCACACGTGCAGCTTGACCCCCCATCGAGCTGCCCACCATGCACTCCGTGAGCGTCAACTGCAGCAAGAGTTTGATCAGTTTTTCAGCCCCAGCAAGAAAATTGTCCCCTCGCCGTCGCCGTGGAAGAAGACACCCAAGAACTCGCAGAGTAAATATCGCGCCCCACGCTTGCAACGCTTGTCAGCAAGTCCAGTCAAGCTCGACCTTGGCCAGCCTGGCACTGCGCCAGTCTCGCCCACCGTTGAGTCCGCTCGCACCTCCCCTCGTGCTAGCCCCAGCCCCATGGCTCGTACCCGTACGTCAAACGCACCAAGCACTCCCATTGTTCTCTGATCTGTCCATGACCTCTGTCACAGCCCCACGTGTTTTGGCATCAGCAACCTCGAGGTGCATGTGTGCCTGCGCTTGCTCATTTATGTTGTTTGTGACAGAGGGATCTCAGACCGAGGTCACTTGGTTAAGGACGGAAGACCCGCAAATCTATCAAGAGCCGCGCGTATGCTTTGACCTGAGTCCCCGGCGCGAGCCAAATCACGCCACGCGCGACTCGATGGTCCGCCTCACTCGCCTCTGTCAGGAGGTTTCAGATGAAATTACGCAAAAGTCTCTGCGTAAATTGGCCGATCTGAGTGCGCTGGCCGATGCCATTGCTCATGATCTGGGTCCACACGCACGAATCAAGGCTGACGAGATCAAGGAAGCCTGTCACCAGCTTTCACACGACCTTAGTCTTGAGGTATCTTCCTCCTAAGAAAAGACCTGCCTGGTGCTGCGACTGGGGCCCTTCTCGCTGAGCGCTGAGCTCTACGGCTCGTCCATGCTCCGCCGATCGACTGCCGTGCAGTTTTTCTGGCCAGGATAGCTGAAAACCTTTGCGGCCGTTATTTCTATCAAGCCACAATGGCCTCATCTCTTTGGCTGCCCACAATATGTTCTTGCCCGTGGACCCTCCTTTTGTTAATTTTATCCGGACTTTCTTCAGAAAAGCATTAGCTGTTTCCAATTGACACTCGACCCATTGCGCTTGACACTGTTCGCTCGACACTGTTGTTCCCCAGTCGCTGATCTGGTTGTTGGATGTCTGCGACCATCTTCATCCCCTCATCATCATCCCATCTCCATCTCCATCCTTATCTTCATCCCCATCTCCATTTCCATCTCCATCTCTATCCCCCCAATCTCCATAGCTTCCCATTCTTCTTCAAGCCACTACAGCGAAAAGTACACAGACACAGACACAGACACTCACTCACACACACACACACACACACAAACACAGACACAGACGACAGACACACACACACACACACACTCACTCACTCACTCACAGACACACACACACACACACACACACACACACACACACACACACACACACTCCCTCACTCACTCACAGACACACACACACACACACACTTCACTTTTTCCTGTTTGTTTCGGCGATCCTCCAGAGATGGAGGCGTATCATGCATGGGCTATCTTGGAATGCCGGGGACAGGATGTGTCGTATCTGGCTCGTTGCTCGGACTTGCCGGCGGGGGTGGTGACCATTTTGCTCAAAGAGGCGGTGCAGGCCCAGAGCGCCACAGAGTTGGAGGCACTTGAGCTGGATGGCGGTGTGGAGGTCGAGCCCTCCTCCACTGGCGCTGACGCTGAGAGGTCGGCACGCGCGTCGCTGGTCGCCCCCGGTCACTTTCAGGTTCGATGGTGTGGACGCGATGGTGACGCGTCGGGCATTTGCGTGGCTTTGTTGCTGGATGGTGGCGCCAAAGCCCTGCCCTTCCACCTCTTTGATGACTGGCAAGTCGTGGGGGCAGAGGCCTTGGCCTTGGCGCGCAAGGGCCAAGTTGAGGCTGCACAAGCGATCCTTGAGCAGTGGCCATCAGCTGCGCTGACCTACTTGCATCGTCTGCGAACACAACCTCAGTATGCAGCCGCGGCGATTGAGACAGCGCTCAGCAACCACAGTGATGCCGATGCGCAGCGTCTGCTTGCTGTGCTCGATTCCATGTTTGGTGTGCGCATGGGCATGGACTGCTCTGGCCTCTTTCAGCACCTGTGGACCAGCGATGCACCAGATGCTGACCTTGCGCCACAGCCAGTGGCCTGTCAATTGGTGCAGGAGCTGAGCAACCAAGAGGCGGATGATGTCCGTGTTCGTCACAACATGCACACCCTTGCCACACAGGTGAATCAAACGCCCGCGCTCCGCCACGCGCAGGTTTTGCACCTTGCCTCACCACATTGGCCGCTGCTTCTTTGTGCGGTGTGGGGATGAGATTTAGCTGGCGCATCGGACGCGCAAGCTACTGGTGACGGCCCAAAAGGCCGTGTGGCAGCACGCGTGGTGCTACCCCGTGGTATGCCAGCTCAATGAGCTGCAGGTGCGTGCGGGCGATTTGCATGCGAACGCCAGGGTGTCGACTCGGCTGCAACCAACTCGCTGTGATGCTAGCCCGTCCTTTCCTTTCGTTTGTTTGAATTATCTCATGGTCAATCGGATGTCGCCTAGGCGGATGTTGGGTCGGACTGGCTGTTGCAGATTATTCAAAGTCTGCAAACATCGAGCGAGACAAAGCGAGCGGCCGACCTGCTGCGCAGCATGCTCGCCCTTGAGGGCCATGCCCGTGCAGCTTGAGTTTCAAGGGGTGCACCTCGGAGGTGCAGCTCCTGCGCTAGAAATGCAGATTTAATGCTCTTAAGGATAGACTCAGCCTCGCTGTGCGAGGCCATGTTGTAGTGTGTCGTGTCGTGTCATCTCCGCGTGTCGCCCATGTCATATCACGACTGTTGGTCCTGGCGTGCCGCTCTGTTCCGCCCGCATTTGCGGGCTGTTGGACGTCCGTGTCGGTCAAGTTTTTCTCTTCAATTGGAGATGTTAAAAGAAACGGGGTTTAAAAGGTAGCAGAGGAGTTGGTCACGGCAAACGGGTCAGGGGAGCAGAATACACCCAAGATGATAAGGAGGAAAGGGCACTCAAAAATAGCCAGGGAGCTGCTTATAGAGTGGACTGAATCGACTCTGCATGTGCCACAACAGAGCAGGGCAGCGTGAGAATGCCGAGGGTTGCATCGACGTCCAGCCATTCCACCACGCAAGCACATGCAGGACAATGTAATGTCGCTTCGGAAACCACGCCAGCGCTACGTACTGGCAGAGATGACCTGGCCCTTCTCGTAGAAGCGCATGTTCAGAGTGCCACCGACGCGCTTGGCAGCCTGCTTCTTGGCCTCCTCCTTCAGGGCCGAGCGCACAAAGCGCGCCGCCAGAGCGGAAAACTGCAGGTAGCTAAAAAGCACAGATCGCCCGGCCAACATTGCCATCAGTCATTTCGAGAGAAGCAGAAAGGAAAAGTCAAGAGCCACACCGTCCGAATCCCATTCGGCCCCGCCCATGCTGAACAGGCCACTGCAGCGACCGCCATCAGGAAGCGCAGATCAATCCGTACCTCATACCCGCCGCACGCCAGGAAGCAGTCATGATGTAGGTCTGGAGGGAGATAAGAGGTCAACGATCGAACACAAACTAGAACAACACACACACCCAAGAAACAGAAGAACAGGACCAATGAGTTTGGAGACTCAAAGCACGCTAGAGCAGCCACGGTCTTCGCGAGCGACACAGAAGTGCTCCCAAAGCACCGCCGCCGCATCCCGCACCCCAGCCGACCCCCAGACGCTCTCAACCTTGCCCCACCAGCTTTGTCTTGTCACGCCTTTTAAAAGACCCTCTTTTCTCGTATCCCAATACAAACAAGCCGTTCCCGCCGACTGAAGCACCAGTACACTGGCGTCTGGCGCTGCCATTTCCATCGTCGCCTCACTCGGCTCACTCGCGCTGCCACTAACACACACACACACACACACACATGCGTTTTTTTTTTTTTTGTTCTTTTTTACCTGTACGAGTCCAAGTGATAATTTGAATCAGTTGTATCAGAAAAAACACAGACAAATTGATACAAAAAAAACAAGTTCAGTCTCCGGTAAAGTTCAGAGGACGAACGCAGTGACATGTCGATGACTTTTGGTCGTGAAGGTAGCAGAAGGCGAAAACAGTGAACCTGGCCGTGGCATTTCGCCTGCGGCATCATGACCAACGACGAGTTTCTGAGCGCGTGTGCGGCGATTCGCTCGGATCAGGCCCTGAAGCTGCTCAAGAAGTTGCCCTGGGGCTCGCCCCTCCTGCACGCCGTCTTTGAGTATCATAATGCGGTGTGTTGGTGCATCGTTTACTGCCGTTGAGCCTTGTTTTGTCTCTTTCCAATCGTGTCAAAGCGTTCAACTTGCCACCAGTGCCTTGGAGGCCTCATTCGCCTTTCCCCGCCTCGCGTACCCCCTCTGTTGTGTGCTGGATACTGGCCATACGAGGCAGCGGGGTGAAACGCCCCTCCATTTGGCCAGTCTACGCGGACATGTCGACATTGTGCGCCTCATTCTTCAAGGGGGCGGTCGCGCCGACCCGCGAAATGAGGTCCGCTCCACACGCTTCTAGTTTTGTTTGAAAAGCACACAACAAGGTGACTGACTGACTCTCGCCTGCTCCACCTCCCCACCCTCAGGATGACATGACTCCGCTCCACTATGCGTGTTGGTACGGCCAAAAAGATATAGCACGGCTCTTGCTCGACGCCGGCGCCGACCGCAACGCCCGCGACTACGTATGTCACCAACGTCCGGCCGGTCATCCAGTTCTCTCTCTCTCTCTCTTTTTTTTTCTTTTTTTTTCTCTTTTTTTTTTTTTTGTCTGCTGAAACAAAAACCCACTAGACCATGGATCCCTGAACCCTTAACACCTTGGATTTTGCCTTTTGATGGAAGCGTGGAAGTTGACTACCCTTTTTCCTTTTCTTCTTTTTTTTTTTTGTTTTTGCTGGCTTTGCACTCAGGGGTGCAGGGGCGCGCGAGTGGCATGCGTCGGTGCATTGTACTGCCACGAAATCCCCTGCCGCCTTCTTGATTGCTTTTATTTTATTTATTTTTTTTTTTTTGGCCGCTGCCATTTGGGCCGGTTTGTTTTTCACATGTCAATTTTTTTTTTCTTTATGGACTTGCACTCCTACTGGGAGCTTTTCTTTGTTTTGTTCTTATGTAACTGTGGAGGAAGTGATTGGTGCACCAGTTTGACGGCCCACTCATTCGCCATCACTGTGAAATGGAATTGGCGGCGTCCCTTGCGGCTCATCTTGTGCGTGATTTTGGTTTTTGGACTCCTCCCAGAATGGCGAGCCGCCCCTGGCCTTGGTGTCTCGGCGGCTGTACGAAACTTTTCAGCCACTCTGGAGCAGTCCTGCATGCAGTCTAGGTCTGTGCTTCTGACTGCGCAGCTGCTCACATTCATAAACATCACAAGATGCCATGTTTTTGTATCAGCTGGCTCACCAAACTGAGCCTGTCACAGGCGATGCAGCAACTTTGGCACACACGAGATCAGATGTGGATGCGCCTACGCCCACTGCATTGGTGCGGATGTATCCATTTGGCCGTGAGCCATTCCTCGTGCCAAGTGTCTAGTCCACGCTGCCCTCACATCTACTGGCCTGTTTGCAGGCGCCCGCGCCCCTCCTGCAAGCTTGCCGCCAAGGCCATCTTGAAGCCGTGAAGGCTCAGCTGGCCGCTGGGGCTGACGTGCATCAATGCAATGAGGTGAGGCGGTGGCTTTACCCACTTTGATCACCTTGTCCATGGGATAAATCGGGCGTCAACGCCAAAATGGCCGGCCTACACATCAAACGACCATTCATGAAAACATGCGTGGCTCATTCGTCCTCTCGATTGCCCCACGACTCTGCAGCATGGCGCCTCAGGCCTACATATAGCTTGCGAGTTTGGTCATTTGCAGGTTGTTTGGGCCCTGTTAGAGGCGGGAGCTGATCCCACTGCCCGCGATCACGTAGGGCCTGCTCATCAGTCTTTCCAAGTGCTTCAGACACTACCGGCTTTAGCGCTTTGATCTCACTCTCTGCTTTCAACAGCATGGTCGATTGCCCGCTGCTCTAGCTCAGGCGGGCGGCCACACGCTCGTTTTGACCTTGATTGAGCAAATGTCTGCCTTGGACGCAGAGTGGCTGCCCCCGCTGCCTTCAAATCCCACTCTTCAAGTGTGCCCAACCGTGACTGACGCCCCCGCCATGTCCCCACATGTCATCCTAAACATGCCCCCCCTTCCCTCTTCACCCCTCCTTGCTTCGTTGGTTCATCCTCGTCCTGTGAACCCCCCACCCTTCTCCTAGGCGCAGGCAGCCATCGAAGCAATAAACCACTGGCTGCTGCCACTAGCTCGTGCAGTAGCCACTGCACCGGTTCCAGAAGGGCCCCCGATCGTTCTCAACGCCATGCTCGCCTTTGCATGCACTGATACGGCCCCTGCATTGAATGCCGCCGTCAGCAACGTGATGGACGCACAAGCGTGGCTTGAATGGCTGCCCAGCAGCATGCCACAGCATCTTGATGCCACGCGCGCCATCATCAACGTCATTGATGATGGTGTTCGGGCCCAAGACCAGGTGCAGACCCGCATTGGCACATCACAGCCGGGTGACAGCCTTTTGGGTGTCTTGGGAGAGATACAAGACGTCGTCAAGGCCCTGCAGATTGGATCCTGTGAGCTTGACTGGTCTCATTGCACCAAGGCCTTATCAATCCTTCAGTCCACTATGCCAACCACCCAAACGGCCCACCCTCCAGCTAGTGCAGAACGACTGGGCGACAGCCTATTGAGCGAGAGCACTACCGCTTGCAGTCCATCCTTGGAGTCTTCGGCGCATTCCTCTACACTCCTGCCTGACGACCGCACGCCGAGTCTCTACACCCTGGCCAATGCACTTGACAAAGACACTGCTCACGACTTGAAATCCAGCTCGATAGGGCTGCCCGAGCTTTTGGAAAAGCTGTGCACGGCGCGACGCACTCTGGCTGTAGTAGCCCAGGCCCTTCAACAAGCAGAAGTGCAAGCACGCAACGCTTTACAACAGCTCGCCCAGGCCGTTGCCAACTACACGGCAAGCCTGGCGGACAGTTTGAAACAGGATGGAGCTCGAGCACTTGCCCTGTTGGATGGGGCAAAGGGTCTTGACCCACCAACTCCGGGTATCGAGGCTTCTCAAAAAGCTTCAGATTCCTATTTGGATTGGCGTCCCATTCGTGACGCCCACGCAACGCTTCAGCACCTCTCACGCAGTGTCGACTCTCCCATGCGTCAGGCCGTTATGGCCGCCGTGCACTGCGGTCCACACATGTTACGCCAATTGACAACCATGGCCCACATCGAACAGGAGAATTTGAGCGCCCAATTTCATGTGATTCGCGCCTGGCACTCCGATCTACTTGCCTCTCTGACTGTTTGTCAGACCAAGGCCCGCGCTCACATCCAGCAGCTAGCCGCTCAAGACGAGGGCAATGCCTCGACAACAGACACGCGCCATCGCATTCTCGATCAGATTCAGTCGGCGCGTCGCTTTCTGGACAGCGGCCCGCCCGCTGAAATGCAGACAATGCTCTTGGCACAAATCGCGCAGTGGGAGGCAGAATTGCAACAGCTCCACTCTTCAGCTCCCCATTCTGAACCCATCGTGGAGCTCTCGCAACAGCTCATGCGCCACTTTAGTGACTTGCTGCAACTCGTCCCACGTGGACCGCAGGATGCCTGTGCACGCCTACAGGCACAACTACCCGAGGCGTCGCCCCAGTTGGCCCTGGAGATTCTGGCACAGCTTGATGCGGATGTTTCATTGCGCGATTTCTCTGATGAAACCATCCTATCTGACTCAAATCACCCAGTATCACGCTTTACCTTCGCGCCCGCGGACGGCCCAACCCACACCGTAGCCGTCAAGGCCTATTCACTGCTTCAGCGTGACAAACACACCACACTTGAACAAAGATGCCGCACCATCTTGCGTGAGGTGACCACGTTACGCAGCCTGCAACACGAACACATCCTGCACTTGGAACTCGCCTTTTTTGACGTGCATGCCAAGGCCCCGCGCATTTACCTGGTACTACCCTGGTGTCCCGAGCGCGATCTCGGGCACTGGCTGCAAAACGTGACAGCTGAAGCAGTAACAGCCAAGCTGGCATGGCGTCTCATGCAGGAGACGCAATCCGCCTTGGCTTACATTCACAAGGCCGGTCTTGTACACCGTGATGTCAAACTGAGCAACATCATGTTGGCAGGCAAGCACAACGACCCCCAGGCCAAGCTCGGTGACTTTGACATTACGCGCCCGGCAGCTGAGCGCACCTTCTTGGTGCGCACTACCTTGGCGGCAGTCGGTACCGATGGCTATATCGCCCCCGAGTTGCTCTTCGGGCGTGGTCGAGTGGGGGCCCGACCATCGCAAGATGCCTTTGCACTTGGTTGCGTCTTCTACAACGTGTACTCTTTCCCGCTACGAGCGCCTGCAGTTAGCAAGGAAGGCGAGGATTTGCGCACTGCCTTGCTTCGCAATAATGATGGTACTGCCTCAGTGGCTCCAGCGGTTGCAAGCTGCAAGTTTCCCAAACTCCGGCATGAGGTATGCACACGCGTTGCTGTCCTCCCTTGAACCCACCCAAGCTTTTGTAGAGATGGTGCTGACTTGGCCCTGCTCATGATTTTTTGCTTATCTGGCTAGCTTGAGCTTGTCGAGGGTCGGGTGCACCAACTGACTTGGCAGCTTTTGGCGCCCAGTCCGCACGACCGACCAAAGCTCTCAGCGGGCCCTATGGAGTCCACATTGTTGCAGCCTGCTCTGGGCACCGAACCAGGAGCACTCGATCCGCCCATGACCAAGGTTCTGCTGGAAGCCCCAGAGCTGCTCGATGAGGTGTGTCGGTGGTCTGTGGCTTGAACACACCCATGCTCCCCCCTTGCCTGCTTCCGTTGATAGCAAGAGGTCATTTGTTGGACTTGCGTGGCTGAGGGCTGATCCACGACCTGCGACGTGCACAGGTCAATGCGTTGCTTGAGCAAATTGCTGCCTCGGATGCGCAGGCGTTGGTCGTAACACGTGTGCAGCGGGTGGTCAACACCCTCGTGTGGAGGCGTTATATGCGGCGCTTGGAGGAAATGCAGCAGCGACAACCCATCCAGACTGAACACGTCTGTGAAACTCTACTCACTGGCCATTTGGAGGCGATAACGGGCTCCGTGCCGCTCTTTCGTGATGGCGCGTGTCAAGAGCGACTCCTCTTTATGAGTGCACCAATCTCAAACGACAAGCGCAATCACGTGGTCCGGCTTGGATTCGATACCCGCTTTCACCCAGCCACAACCAGCCAAGGGCATGGCATCTGGCTCAGCGATGATCCACTGCAGGTTCGTCAATGAACATGCCTCACGTTGCTCTTGGCACATCCCCATGGAGCATGACTCACAGAGCTGATTGATGCACGCAAGTGACAGGCGTGTGAGCTTGGTAAAGAGACCGACTCGCTGCCCAAGCAAGGTTCCCTGATGGTGGCACGTGCACTGTTGGGGCGGCAATTTATTTGCCCTGCAGTTAAAGGCGACGCCCTTGAGCCCCCGAGGCTGCCCAAGGCCACTAAAGATGCGGTTGGTGGTGACATGACACGGTGAGGAACAAATGACGTTTTGGAATCTTGAGATTGTTAACACGCTAAGCGCGACGCATCATTGCCTCACTCCACCTCATTTGAGCGCAGGTTTGACAGCGTGGTCGCCATGCCAGTCGGACAGCACCATCACGTTGTCATATACGACAACAGTCAACTTTATCCTGAGTTTGTCCTGCAATACGAAATCAGATCCCATACCGACTAATTAATGCTTGCGCATGAGCAGCACCAACCGCGGCCCGTTGAATTCCACGCTGCTTTGAGCCTTTTTAAATTGTGCCCCCTTTTGCGTCTTCTTGTTTCTTGTCTGCCGCTGGCTCTGGCGAGGCCTTTCCAGCTATTCGCCCGCCCAGCTGTCAGGCTTGCTTGCACTGGTCGCAGCTGCGCTGCCCTCTTGACCTGTTGCGTTTTATCTTCCTTCATCATAGTATGCCTGATCACAAAATGCACATGCCCCCATTTTTGGCTTGAATCGATTTATCACTAATGCGCAAGACACCACGCCCACGCCCAAACTCGATGCGAACATCACTTGACCGCGCTCAGACGGAGGCGAAACAAGGGTGAGGGCCAAGTCTAAGTTTAGGCGCCTTTGAGACTACCACAACACTAGAAAATAACCACACACACACACACACACACACACACACACACACACACACACACACACACACACACACACACACACACACACACACACACACACACACACACACACACACAGGAAAAATCTATGCGTTCATGCATGCATGGATTGAGAACTGTGGCGCGTGACGGTATCGCCGCCATTTTCTTGTGCGTGAGGGGCTACGGTCGCATCTTGGACCAGATTCATGGCGCGAGGTGCCAGGGTCTTGGTCGGATTGGCCATCCTCGTCGCTGCGCTGTCCCTGATGAGCCTCTACAGTTCCAACTGGCGCCGGCAAAAGTACGTTGCGTTGGCCAGGCACTGCGAGCTCCTGGTCGCATGCAACAACATGCCCATGATGTGGCCGCACACTGCCTCATCCTGTATGCCGCCTTAGCCTGTTGCCGAGTAGGTACGTCAGGTCATCCCCTTCACCATCTCAGCTCAAGCCTGCGAATCCCATGGCCACCTTGCACAGCTTGGTCGCGCCTCAGCCACCCAACGCCCAGCTCAGCCAGCCCATTTCAGCAGCGCCCAACGCTGTGCGCCGAGCTCAACCCCCAGCTAGTGACGAGACGCTGTACGTTCCCATCATTTGCATCTTTGTTGTAACGGGCGGAAATAGCAGCAAAAGCGCGGCTAGCCAAGCCGCCATTGCACAAACCTGGTTCACCAACCATTCGTACTTTGTGACACATGACAAAGTGCCAGTGCCGAGCGAACGCGTCGTGTATCTCAGCACCTCGGCTGAGCAAGCCGCCCGTGTCAACCTGGCCTTGAAAGTGCTGCACATGTGGGAATATCTCGCGCGCATGCGCACCGCCCGCTTTGCACAGTGTGACTATTTTATGAAGGCAGATGACGACACCTACGTCAACCTGCCCCGTCTACAGCAGGAGCTGGCCCTGCTCAATGCTTCTGTGCCATCTTACTTTGGTGTCAAGCGCTACAGCGCCGTTGTCAAAAACACGCCCCCAGCCAACTCACTCTGGCCGCCCAAGAACAGCCTTAACTTTGGTCATGGGGGAGCTGGCTATCTTCTCTCTCGTGCTGCCCTTGCCCAACTCGGACCTGACGCCCTGGCTGCGTGTCGCCACAGCCCCCCTCTCCTCTCCTTGGAAGATGCACGTCTGGCAGCCTGCTTGTACCAGCAGCTGGGCCTTGACTGCACCAACCTGCAATGGATGTCCTTTGGGGGCATGGACCCTTGGCACAACCGACATGACCAGGACCGCCAGACAAATACCCTCGACGCAGCATCAGACCTTGAACTCATCAAGGGTAGCTCTTTTCACAGCATTCGTGCTGATCTGATGAAGCGCCTGCATCATCGACTGCAGGCCATCGATCCCACCGTGTGGACACAGGCGCTGCAACGCATTGGAGATCAGGCCCGCACCCTGTTAGCACAGCCCTCCCCCCGCTTCAACGCGCTCTACCGCTGTGCTCTACCACACGAGGCGACAAGCCTGGAGGGCGCTTGCCACGACAGTCTGGTTGCGGCCCCGCTGCGGCAGCTGGCCCACGCCGGCGTCGATGCCGATGCCCTTCAAGCCAGCTTTTCCTGGCGCTGGGTGCACCGGCCTTCCGAACCACGCCAGCAGCCGAGAACTTTGTTCTCAGTTGTATTTCCCCTAACACTGACCTTGGATATGAGCGTGTGGCTAGAGCGCATCTGGGCTGGAGCCCTCGCGCCGCTACAACCCGATATTCAATTAAACCTGGTCTTTTGTGATCAGCTCCCAGAGAAGTTGGCCACCGAGGTCAGACAGACGTTTTTTCTTGATTTGCTTGGCTCTTGCTCCCCCCATGTGGCTTTGGTCCAGCATCAAGGATCTTCTTGCCGCTCTCTCACCTCGAGAATCTCTCTGACAGGCCAAAGCAAGCTTGGCGGGCGTCGCTGCGGTGACTGTGGCATGCCAGACACTCACCGTAGGCGAACAGTATCTCAACATTCAAAAGGCCGTCTTGGCTGGCGTTACGTGGGCCAGTCAACAAAGGGATCAATCCTTGGACGTCAGCGTTGTGATACCGGCCGATGCGAGCGTGAGCGTGTCGCGCTTGCGCCTCTTGGCCAGCCATGACCGAGCGATTTTAAGCCCCCTGGTGCCACTCCAGCAAGTTGACCGCATCATCTTCAATCTCGCTCAGGTTGGTCTTCCATGACACGACACGGCTCGTTGCTGAGGCCGCCGCCCTACCCACTTGATTTGGCGCTCATGATGATCACGCACGCTGGCAGGCCCACCAAGGTGTCCCATTCCCGCTGCTTCACCCATTTTTTGTTGTAGCTCCGCTTTCGTTGCACCAGCGCCTCGTGACGGGCCTTGTCGCTCAATTGGCTATGAACAAGGCAGCACGCCAATCTCAAGAGCCCCGTGCCCCCGCCATGTTTCTGGGCGTGGCGGTTTGGCACCACATGCTAGCCTGGTTTGCGCCCACATTTGTCGCCCTTCCTGACCACTTTCCTATCGTTCAAATTCAATCACAATCCGGAAATTGGAGCTGGGATCCTCAAGCATTGCGGGGTGCTCGCCGTGCAGCCGATATCGTAGCCTGCGCTCCGGCTCATCGAAGTGGGGTATGCTTCCAGCCTGACCCCAGCTTTCAACCAGCTGCCGTTTTGGATTTGGGACAGCTAACGGCGTTGGCCGACAATGGTCAAGCGCGCCTCCAAGGCACTGCTTTGTTGACCACTGCACCTGCCACTGCTGCCGGACTGTCCAACCCCCAACGCGACTTACACCCAGTCCTCGCGGTTGACCAATGGCCTATTGAGAGCCGTCACAAAACAGCCTTCCAGCGTTTCATCAAGGGCCCCGATCAGGTAACTGTTATCCTTGTGCCTCGTGAATTTGTTCTGTCTCTGGTGTGGGTACTCTTTTCAACCCGCTGACATTGAGCATAGGCGGACGTCCGAGAAGTGCTCGCATGTTTGGAGCGTTATCGGCAACGATTTGGGCAAGACACCAACCGTCCAATTGTGAGCAAGGTTGCCAGTCCAAAAACGCACAAAACAGGCAGTTCGACGCTTTCCAGGTACGTTGAAACGCATATCTCGGAGACTGCTAAAACCCGGGTCTTGCTCACGACGCTTGTAAATTGAGCAGCGTGCTCTTTCGATTCGGAGCTCGCAATCGACTGCGCGCATACCATCGCGGCAGTTGGACGTTTTTGGGCTTGGCCCATTTTAAGAAAGCACTGCAGGACACAACACTGCGGGTGCGATCTCAAGAATATGGCCCGTTTCGTCTTGAAATGCGGGTGCCCATGAGCTGAAGCCGTGTGACTGGAAATTGTGCACCCCATTATGTAGGGTCAATACGATCTCATCTTTAGCCATCTCACACCCAACGGAAAGTTTAGCGGCCGCTATGAAGTTGTGGAGCGCTTTTACGAGGTACTTTCTGCGTGCTTTTTGCGCGTTTGTGCGACGCACTCACTGAACTGTCCACGGGTGTGGCTCTCATCAACATCCTATTACATTGATTATCCAGCACTTGTTGGGGCCCCACGCCACGATCGCGGCCTTTCGTGAGCCGAAACAACAGTTGACTTCGTACGCCTACTATTACTTTGTGCCCAATCACCGTGAGCAGGTGAGCTATCTTGAGGGCAGCAAAGGCGGAGCGCTTTGATTCATATCGTTGCCCCAAGCATCAAGTGAGCAAAATTGCGTTGATTATTCGTTACGCCGCGCGGCTTTTAGGGATCTGAGGCTGGCTTCCAGCTGTTTCTTGACCAGCTCAAGGCGGGCAAAGCCAGTCCAAATCAAGTTGCGGGTGGTTTTGGCATTTATTCGCAGAGCCAAGCCGAAGCGTTCGTGCAAAACCATCTTGCTCGTTTCGATGTGACCGTGCTATCTGAGCGGTATGTGAGCTGTGTCCCTCTACACTTTGACCTGTGCCTGGCATGCATTGCTGATGCGAGCGGCAATATGGGTGGTGGTACGGGGGGCGAGGGGAGCAGGTTTGATGAGAGCTTAGTTTTGATGAGGCGACTCTTCAACTGGGACCCCCTCGACATCACATACCTTCGCCTGCTGGATTCCCACGCCAAAGACAGGTGAGGTGATCTTGTATGCAGCTTATTGGCAGCAACCGCCACTCATTACTGCATCAATCTTGACGGCCCAACAGCATACGTTGGGATGGCAAGCGCTTAGACCCCACGCCCAAAGTGGCGCAAATGCGCTCCGACTGGGTGCAAGCGTTGAACAACGCAACCCAGCTCGATCAAATCTTGTACAAGGCTGCCAAAAAGAAGTACGCTCCTCCGTCACCAAAAGTTGTTTTGTTTTGGGTTTTTGTTTGTTTGTTTTTAGCCACCTCCTGAACCCATTTTCGCACCCCACCCCCACCCCCCCTTTTGACTCGATTCGAGCAGGTTTGAAGCCCAGGTGGCCCAAGAGCAGAACTTTGCAGAAGAAGTCCGGCTGTTTCAGGAACTACAAGCGGCTTTAAACCGCGCCTGCACCAAGACCCCAACATCTCGGGTGTGCCAGTTTTTCCAGCTGACCGACTTGCAGTATTTTAAACTTATCAATCAACCAGGCTATGCCCCTTACGTGCCCCTTGATGCCTGATAAATGATGGATGATGGATGATGGATGATACCAGGTTTATCTATGGTCTAATTTATTATCAATTGATGTGTCGGGCGAGCCCCTGGTGTGCACGACTCGCACGCTGATTTGCCTTGCGAATCGATGATCGGACAAATGTCTCAGCCCTTAAAGGCTGTGCTGCTAATATCAGGACGCCTTTTCAACGTGCCGCGAGTCAACGCCAGTGCTGGGAAGCAAGAGTTACCATTTAACTACCTGTGAAGGAAAAGTCAAGATGGAAGGATGAAATTGCCCGTGCGCCCCGCCATCGAGCTACTGCTCAAGGATGCGTTGCACGGCCGCATGAACGTTGCCATTGGTTTGCTCCAGCGCTGCGACAGATCCGGCGCAGCGAGCAGTATCGGTATCAGAACTGACACGATAAAGAGGCAAGGGCTTGTTGTTTGCTGCACGCACCTCGGATGTTCACGTCACGGTCACTAAAGCCCATGTCGTTCAATTGTCGGAGCTGCAGCTGATAGCGGTCAGCCGCTGCAGGTGCAGGCGCTGCGCCAGAGGCAGGCGTTTGACTGCCGCTACCAGACTAAAGGCAGGCCGGCAGGCAATGAGATGGCGCACAGAGATCGGGCAGGGCAGTGAAAAAAGATGATGACTGACCGTCGGGGGCGTGTTTGTTGTGGATGCAGCACCCATCATGCCCGGAAATGGAAATGAGAAAGGAGGAAGACCAGCGCTATCGGTTCCGGGCGGGGTGTTTGCTGCTCCAGTTCCGGCTCCAGACCTGCCTCGCGTCCAGGACAAGCCCGCACGAAAATGAGGATGCGTGGCCGAGCCCAAACAGATCCGCAGTCTCACGCATGAGGGTTGAGCTAGAAGCGCGTACCGCATTTGTCGCATCATGTTCAAGGACCGTTCGATCATGGCGGGGTCGCTCAACAGATCGCGCGTGGCTGGGTCGCTGAGACTGGCTTCCAGGGCAGAGCGCATCATGGGATTGGCTTGCATCATGGGAGAATTCAGTACCGCTTGCATCATCTAACGTTTCAATCCAAACATCGGCATGCACCCAGACGGTCAAGTTGTGTGGGAAGGGGCAACGTGCAGTGAACGAATCTGCATACCTGAGGATCCTGCATTGCATTGCGCATCATCTCGGGATATGCCGGACTGGATAAGAGAGACTCGGTAAACGCGGCCTGTGGCCCGTCCAAGTTGGGAGCTCCAGGTAGTCCTCCAAAAAGCGAAGGACCATGAGAAGCGGACGCGCCGCTACCGCCGCTGGCACCGGTGCTAGTGCTGGTACCAGTGTTGCGGGCACCCGAACCGTAAATGTCCTCATCGCTGGGCTCAGCCTCACGGCGAGCACCACCCCAGGAGCCTCCAAGCAGAGATGCAAAGGGATTGCTGGATGCGGCTGCGGACGATGCAGGTGCACTGCTGCTGCTGCTCTGAGATCCTGTTCCACCGGCCCAGGGACTTGGCATAGCTTCGTCGTTCCGTTGGCGCGACGGCTCGGGTTCAGGGGGGGCAAGGAGACTAGCAAAAGGGTTATCAGCCAATCGCGGGTCGGGCTGCGCTTGACGTGCTCCAAAGCCTGGTGGCGAAGAAATTGGACATGGGTGTTCCCATGATGGAGGCAACAACCAAAGCAGCGAGCCCGTATAAACACAGAAGGGGGCAGGTGTGGTGAGAAACCATGGCTATGAACAAAAACTTGACTGGGACATATTTGTCATGCCGGCGATTGACTTTGAAACACACCTTGTCCCGCAGCATTCAGCAAGGGCTCGGCAATTTCTGGACATCAAGTACGCATCAAACAATTGAAGAAGGACGGTGAGCATATCGCAATCATGAAACAAGAGTTTCGGATCCCGGAAAAAAAAAAAAAAAGATAACAACAATAAAAACGACATAGAAAACAAAAGGCGGCACGGTGTACCTTCGTGCATGCGGGAGAGGTGCTGAAAGCCGCCTGGCATGGCCTCGATGTTGCTAAAGGCGCGATCCTGTTGCCGCATCAGCTCGTCGCGCAGGGCTGGATTGGCCATGGCTGCCATTCTAAGTTGGAGGGAAGCGTGAACAGCAGTGATGAGCAATGCATCACCAGTTCACCTTGGAGGTTCTTCTCCAACCGACAGACGCTCTTTGCACCAGCTCTTCCCGGCTCTCGTGTTGTCTGCCTGCCCACTTTCCCGGGACGCGAGCGTACGATTGCCGCATGGTTTCGGGGTCCGTCAGAACGTTTGCAAGCTCTGGGTTGGTTTCCATCAGCTACAAGTGGTAAAAAGGAACAATCGTGAGGCAAGGCGTACGGGTCCTGTAGGCCATGAAGGGCTGTGTGGCTGGACTTGAGGGGCCGAAGGGTTAGGGTCAGGGATATGGCTAGGGTTAAAGCTAGACTCGTTACCTGTCGTATTTGTGGATTTGCCATCATCATGGAGCGCATGAGCTCTGGGTTATTCATCATCGACTGCACCATTGGATTGTCCATCATGCTGCGCATAGTCGCGGCATCCTGAGAATCAGCCATACGGTGATGGGCAGGTGTAAGTGTGAGGAGTGGTATGGGTACCGCCACAGCCGAAGCTAAAGTCATGCGATGAGCTGAAGAGGGAGTCGGCAGGGCACGCACGGGAGTTCGGCCACCGAAAGGGTTTGGTGGGGTGGCTGTAGTGCTGGCTGGCGCCGAGGGGCCACTACGTGAAGGTGACGACGCGGGCGCGGTGCTGCCAGAGGCTTGCGCCTGAGCCTGATTTGAGGCTGCACGCACCAAGTGCATCGCGTGCCCTGACTTGAAGCCTGTAGCAGCCGAGAAGCAAGGACAAAGTTAGCGCGCAGAAAAAAAGGCTGAGGCGTGGACTTGGAAGCAAAGCTGACTGGCAAAGACTGTGATGGAACAAGACCAGAAAGTCGCAGGTGGGGGTCGAACCATAGCTGTCGAGGGTCTGACGGTCATTGAGGATGCGACCAGAATAGACCAGGCGCTGGGCGTTTGGTGGGATTTCGGAAAGGGCCTCCAGACGTTCTTTGAGCTAGCAAAAGCCAAGAAACGCGTGAGGCAAGCCGAGAAGAAGAATAAGAAGATTTTTACAAAAATGAAAGAAAGAGGGAGAGAGAGAGGAAGAGAGAGAGAGAGAGAGAGAGAAAGGCCGCCGCGGGTTAGCCCCGCGAATGGGCACCACTCGGCATTTGGAGCTATCGAGGAAAAAAAAAAAAACGCCTCCCCGTGACGTGGCGAGTTTAGGAGGAGACGGACCGTGGCGACGGGGATACTGGGCTCGACATCCAGAGTAAAGGTGGTACCGGAGACCATCTTGATATTGACGGTGACCATGGGGCCCGAAGCCTCGCTCTCTGCCATGATGATGGTCTTCAGCGCCAAGACGCCCGGCTGCCACAAGCGTACACATTCGCACACACACACGTTAGTGAATCACATTCTCCAACAGGGCCCGACCGAGTATCTCCTTGCAAGCACACCCACCGCTTCGAGGTCCAAGGCGACAAAGCGCTCTCCACCACCGTCCAAGCCGCCACTTCAACCGACCACACGACCGCAAACGACAAGCACCCCAGACTCATACGACGTCCCGGGTGATGAGGTCAGTGAACCAACAAAATACCGAGAGACAGAGTGAGAGAGAGAGTGTGTGTGTGTGTGTGTGAGAGAGAGGGTGAGAGAGACAGAGACAGAGACAGAAACAGAAACAGAGACAGAAACAGAAACAGAGACAGAGACAGACAGAGACAGAGACAGACAGAAACAGAGACAGAGACAGAGACAGAGAGACAGAAAGAGACAGAGAGAGACAGAGAGAGACAGAAAGAGATGAATTGGTTTGGTCGGTTTGAGAAAGAGAGAAATAAAGAGAAAGAGCGACATGAAGCGACACACACACACACACACACACATAAGAAGAGAGTTCGGGAAAGAGACCGATCAAGAAAAGGTTCCCACTTCCTTGAGAGAACACTCCTGCTGCTGCTGCGGCTGCTGCTGCCGATTAGTACCACTACTGCTGCTGCTGCTGCGGCTACCGATTAGTACCACTCCTACTGCTGCTGCTGCGGCTACCGCCTTGTACCACTCCTGCTGCGGCTGCTGCTACCGCCTAGTACCACTACTGCTGCGGCTGCGGCTACCGACGAGTACCACTACTACTGCCGTGATTGTTGCTTGGTGTGACTGGCGAGACAGGATGTTGGCTTGGTTGTTGTGGGCTTTGCTGGGCTTGGGCGTGGCGGCGGTCCTGGCCAACGTGCTGGAGCGGCTCGTGGCACGCGTGCGCCAGAACCATCATAGCGCAGCTCCCGTAAGCCCGTCGACACCCGCATTGCTCTGGTGTGCTGAAAGTCGGTCAACCTTTGCGCTTACTGATAGTACGTTGCTGCGGATGTATCAGCCCGTGTCCACAGCCGAGCTGCGGCTCCGACAGCAGGCCCGAGCTGCCCTCTGGCAAGCTGACCATGATCACCTGGTCAGCCACTCCCCTCCAACCTGGTCGCTGCCGTGCATCCGCGCCGCGTTGAAGCCCCAGCCTTAATCTGCCGATCAATGGCCGAATCATTTCTAGTCCTATCTCCATGCGGAGCAGCGCCGCGATCGAGAGCGACGCGAGCTGGCAACGCAAGCCGATGCCCTGCGTGCTCAGCAAGGCCACACCCTTCGCGTAAGTGACTCATTGCGCCAGACAGTTCGCGCAAGAACAAGTGGGACAGACCATGCTGCTTCAGGGGCTGATCCAAATCCTGTTCCGTGCATGTAAACCACTCCCCATCACTCGGGCCTGGCTAGCGTGCCAAGCGCGAGGCAGATCGCACCAGCCAGCTCACGGTGCAGCGCCAGCTTCGTCAACAACAAGATGAAGATTTTGTCCGATCCCTGGCCGCCGATCAAGCCGCTGCAGCGACCCGCGCGGCGGCACAAGCAGCCCAGGAAGAGACCGAAGCACTGGCCGCGCAGACAGCCTCTCAACTCAAGGCCCTCAAAGATAATCTGTCCCCAGAACCAGCCCCCGATGCACCTGCAGCGCTGTACGACTTGCAAAAAGGGCCGCTAAACCGTCTGCCTCGCCCTTTCCATGACCATCACCTCACATTCTGCTTGTTCCGTCGACGGAAACGCCCCCGCCTGCTCCCTCCCACGTTCTCCCGCCATGTCGCCGCCCTTCAAGCACTCTGGCCCTGCGCTTGCCCAACGGGCAGCGACTACGTCGGCGCTTCGAGTCACATCAGCGCGTTCAGGTAACATTTACACCGCCTTGTCCAACTGTATATTTGAACGATACCCCTTGGCCATAGACTTTGGTCCGGACGACTCACCACCATTACCTCTGGCCACGCACTGCTTCCCCCATCTAGGATGTGCTAGATGTGATGCGCGTTCAACAAGGATCCCTTGAAGAGCTGCACCTCGTATCCCCTCAAGCTCCAGACCAGCCCTGGCAACCCTCAGCAACGCTGGCACAGGCCGGAATCCGAAACCGTGACCTGGTCATGGGAGTCTTTGTGGATATTTAGCATTGTTCAACCATGCCCATCTTTGACGCTGAGCGTCAATGTTAGCCGTTGCCCTCTTCCAGGGCTAGAATCGTCTTGTAGGCCCGGATTATCCCCTGACGATACCTAAGCTCGCTCGCGAACACGATCCTGTCGTCAATTTCTTAGTTTTGATACACCGAGTTGAGGCGCTGACGAGCCAACTGGGCGAAGACAAGAGAGTAAAGGGTCCAATCCACATACACACTCGAATCAGCCCTTGCTTCAGCCTGCAAGCAAGCAAGCAGGAGAGACGGAAACGGGAGGCAAGCGCCCTGTTTTGCCAGAAGACACATGCAACCCAAAGCCCCAACCCAATAGTCCACACAAACAAAATCACAATGGAAGAGTCGGCACGAGACAAAGGTAAGTCACAGAGTTGAGCCTTGGGAGTCGGTCAAATGATGGCGACCCCGAGGCTGAAAGAGCTTCATTGCTGCGAGTACTGTTGGCAAAAGGTTTGGAAAAGTCCCTCCTTCTCCGCCAGGTCGGCCACATAAGGGTGCTCTGGTGCGCTATCGCGCAATTGGTTGAGATATCGCTGCGCCACCTACAGGAGAGGAGGGTGAAGTCATGTCGCAAGTCAGACGGAAAATGACGCAGCGCAGTGGACCTGACAGGATGCCCGGCCTTGGCTTTGCTGAAAACGGACGAGTCAGAGGGCAATTATGCGCAAGAACTTGGCATGCACAGCCTACCTCGGGGGCCTTGCCCATGTAAGTGGAAACGGCCACGAGATTGATCAGGGTCTCAGCGTTGTTGCTGTCCTTTTCAAGAGCGGCAAGCAGCGCCTCTTCGGCTTCATCGTACTGGCCTTGCTGCACATGTGTGGCCGCTTGACCGTTGAGGAGAAGAGGCGTTGGACCAAACTTGTCCGAAAGTTCCTGGAAGATGTAAAACGCCTCCTGAATCTTGTCACCACCCGTGGCCAAACCAACCCAGGCAGTAGCCAACTGTGTCATGGTGGAATCCTCGTCAAGCTTTTGCAGCTCGCTGAGTTTCTTTTTGGCCAGATCCAGACGGTTCATCTGCAAGAGAATTTGGATGTAGAGCGCCATGGCCTCGACGGCCTCAACGCCGTGCAAGCACTTGAGTGCCTGCTCTTGTTGCTAATTTTTCAAAAAAAATAAAATAAAAAAATAAATAAAAAAACAAGAGATCGGGACGTTGAAAAGGGTAACAGGAAGGTCATGCGGCGTAAGTGAAAGCACATCAAGGTAAATGCAGCGAGGGCCGGAGGTCTTTGAGGTCACGTACGCCATCCTGGGAAAAGATGGTGCCAAGCACTAGCGCAACAGATGGGTTGGTCAGCGAGATGCCATCATCAGCCAAGTTTTTGGCCTCTTCCACGACGCTCGCACTGTTTTACAAATGGGGCAGAGCGCGAGAGATGGAACGGAAGAAGTGTGAGATTGACATTCCAAGCATCAAGGCTTCCTCGCGCGTCTGCAACACACACACACACACACACACACACACACACACACACACACACACACACACACACACACACACACACACACACACACACAGAGGCAAGAATAGGTCGGGAACGCACCGCTCGTGCTTGCCGTGCAGGTAACGCGCCAGAAGCTTGACGGCCTGGAGAGCAGATGACGAGGTGGTGGAGATGTCACCTTTGACAACGGCGTACTTGCCCTGCCGGTGTCGGAGAGAACATGAAATGTAAAAGGATCAAGTGAGCGCTCTCGGCCAAGTCCCGTGGGCTGCGTGCCTCTGGCCATGAGTGCGAGCTTGTTGCGGTGGAACAAGGAGGGTGTTTAGCGTGTCAATCCAGTCCATCCGACCTGTGCAACCATGGCCCGGTACATCAACAGCTGGCAATCCTCCTTGGCATCATCCGAGGGCTGTGGGATAGGGCAAACATGAGAGAAGCGAGGGAGCGTGACGTCGCTGAATATTTGGCCAGGGGTGAATCACATCAACCTCCCTTCCCAGCCACTTCAAAGTTGGGGCTGATACCACGTCGTACCGATGCCTTGTTGGCCTCGTTGACGCAAACTTGATAGTTGCCAATGTAGAGCGCGTTGCGCACATCGAAGAGCTCGTCCACACCGTCAGCCATGGCACTGATGCTCTAAAAATGAATACAACTGCCTGTATCTGTCCCCGTGCCAAACGCGGTTCCTATCCTGCAAAGTAGTCCAGGCAAGACGTAGTTGTCGCCCTATTTCCCAAACGGAAGCAAAGGGCTTGATCTGCCAACGGGTGCTGATGGACGCCTTGTGTGCTGTTCAATCCAAACTGCCAACACACCACAGGCACGCCAAAGGTCAATGCAACACAAACCGCAAGAATTCCCCCCTTTGAACACCCGCATCTGCCAATGCACACACCCCGACATCTTGAATCCCATGTACCCTCGTCCCGCTCAACCCGTTCCTCGTCCCAAGTTTGACCCGGCTGCCACTGAACCGGCGCTGCCACAAACCGCATCGTACCAGACAAGAAGAAAAAAAAAAAAAAGACAGAGACGAAGAGATAAGAGAGACAGAGAGATGGCGAGTCAAAGTCAGAGGCAGCAACAGCAACAGAGACAAAGGCAGAGATATGCACAAAGGCTCACGCAGAGATACACAGTCAGACATAGGGATTCAGAGATAGATGTAATGCCAGAATGGGGGATAGAGATGGAGGCAGAAATAGAACCCAAAACAGAGACAGCGCAATAGTAGTGAGAACAAAAGGATCCAAATGACACGAGTTCCAACACACTCGATCATCGTGTTATGATGTTGTGTAGGTAGACAACTTTAGCCGGTTGATAATTTGTGGTTGTGAATTCGATGTCAAGCTCAGAGGGGAGAGGGAAGAGCGGAGCGGTCAGCAACCCTTTGCACACGAGAAGATAAGGGCGAGCATTACTCCTGCGTATCCGCAGGCTTGCTGGAAGGAGGAGGGTTGTTGACCATTTTCGAGGCCAAGGCTGTTGCATCGCCCTTGGACACCGTGTTGAAAATGGCCGCCGCCTAAGTGGAGCAACGAGATGCATGAGATGCAAAGCAGACCTGCGGTTCTGAAAAGAAGGAGCCAAGTCGCCCGCTGCGGTCAGTCCAACCTGCGCAATCATGCTGGCAGGGTCGTTCATGTTGGCCGGGAGGAGCATGGTGTTGTTCTCCTTGGCCAGTTTGCCAAAGGCCTCGACATACTATAGGTCAATCGAGGCGGGGCAGACTGTGAGTCAAGGCAAGCCTGGACAGAGGCGCCAAATGCCCTGGGGCCTACCTGCTGCGCCACAGTCAGAGTCACGGCATCACGGCCACCCTGCAAACATTGAAATTCGACAGAACCAAATGTGCTGGTCAGAAAGATGTGAGACCACGGAGCAGGACGACCCATTCCGACACGGCTTGGCGTGGCGCACCGGCTTTTGGATAGCCTCGGCAACGGTTTCCAGCGCACGGGCGGTGGCCTGGGCACGGGCCACGATGGCTTCCGCCTCACCCAGGGCCAAGTTGGCCTGCTCTTGCCGGCTAGCCTAGAGCGCAGGCGATCCAAAAAAAAAAAAAAAAAAACATGGTAGCACCGAGGGGCCAGGGTGATTCTGCGCCACGGTTGGCGAGGTGGGCGTGCGGTCCCCTTTGCCTCGAGGCCAGCAAGCGCGGACGGAAGCATACCTCAGAGGCCAAGATGACCGACTGCTTTTTACCATCAGCCACGTTGATTGCAGCCTCGCGCTGGCCCTCGGACTCGAGCACGGCGGCACGCTTCTTGCGCTCGGCAGACACCTGGTGTACGTGGGGCGTGGCAGTGAACATTTCCGCTGTTGCTCTGTCCCAACACGGCTCGCGTTCCAGGCTGGTGCGGCCACAGCGGTCAAGTGAGTGGAGGTGGGCCGGGTTTGGCGTACCTGACGTTGCATGTCTTCAATGACCTTGTCCGGTAGTTGGATGTCACGAATCTCGCAACGGTAGCAGGTCAGACCCCATGGCCGAGCCGCAGCATGGATAGCCTCTGAATAAGGCCATGCGCCCCCATGGATTGCCGCGTGAGCGTTTTCAAATCAGGGGAAGGCCAACATGTTGGCAACAAGCAAATAAAAGCTGGCCGGTTGGCCTGCGGTTCGGGCAGAGCTTTGTTGCAAAGAAAGCCCTGATCAGACGAGGAACGCAACAACGGGGCTGCGTACCAACGATGGCTTCATTCAAGAGTTGGCGCTCGCGGAAAACCGTGTCCAAAGTCAGCTTGCCTGCATCATTGAAACAGAAACTCGTGAGTTGGCCCGGACTGGCTGGGGTTGGGGGTTGGGGGGGGGGGGGGGGGGGTTCAATGGCCGGAGCTGGGGCTGGAGTGGGCATACCCATTTCGGAACGCATTGTAGTCTGAGCGAGCTGAGACACGGCAAACTCAGGATCCTCAACACCGTATGACGCCTTGTAAGGGTCATCAATCTTGACGTAGAGCACGCCGTCCAGATGCAGCGTCACGTTATCTATCCAATCAGACGGCCAAGCCTCCGAGGTGAATCGCCATGGGCTCCAGCACGCACTGCTGCAGCGTGGCGTCGATGAAGCGTCGGGGCTGGCCATGAACACACACCCTGGGTAATGGCCGATTGTCGGGGAATCTCGACGACAATCTCCTTGAGGGAGTGCACGTATTTGATCTCATCAACGACGGGAATGAGCAGGCGAAGGCCGGGCTCGAGGACTGAGTGAAACTTGCCAAAGCGCTCAATCACCCAAGCCTCTTGTTGCGGCACAAAGTTGATACCCTATCATCGGCCAGTCGTCAATTGGTGGATGCCGTGACGCATCAGCGAAAGAAGCAGGTAACGCAGATGGGAATGTCTTCCGTCTGAGGCGACGGTAAGGCACGAAGCCCGGCGAGGGGCCATGACGCACCCAATTGTATGGGAGGCCACGGCGGCGTTTGCGCTGAGAAAAGCTGCGGGTTTGCGTCAAGAGGGTGGCAGTAGGTGCCAGCAACGTGCGAGCCTGTTGCAGGGGCGCCTGGCGCGCCGAAAGGGCCGACCGAGCCAACGTCGCCAACATGGCTGCTGTTGCCACAGAGGGTCAGAAAAAATGGAGCTGTCTGTTGTTCTACAGAGCAGTGCGGGGCAGGCAGTCATGTGACGAAATAAGCGAGTGAGTGTTATGCCGCGCCTTCCACTGAGCTGTGTGTGCGCAACGCACAAAGATGGCCAGCAGAGAAATGGCTTCCCCCATGCGAGTAAGCGCAATCTTCGAGGCGAACACGGCTCGAATTGGCGACTTACCACTCTCCCACAGCGCGAGCCGAATCGTGCGTTCGAGACCAGTCTAAGCAACCCTGCGCACAAAGAACCCCGGCAAACCATGATGAGCACCGAGACGAAAGTACGCGTTCCTCTAGCCCATTGCCACCCGAACTACACCCATCCCCCATGCACTTGACCAGCAACACGAGTGGCGCCGCTGCCGGGTGTGCCCCAGTGCGCGCGAAACACGCACAAGGCTCTGGCGACGACTCGCAAGCAGAGGCACGGTTGGAAAGCAGCCAAAATGCACAGAGAACGTCGAACCGCGTACACTTGTTAGTGTTCAAACCATGCAAGAAATAGAGGTGCAAGCTCAGGTTGTTCAAAGACCAGAGAGACATTGACACAAGAGTAGCGCATTTCACTGGCTTGCCATTCCAGAGTATTGTCAACAGCTGTTTGGCACATTCGTCTGACAAATGGATCATCGTCTGACAAATGGATCATCGTCTGACAAATGGCGGTTTGTGAAGCGTGCATGCTTGCACGGCTCGGTGTAGCTCGTCGCAGAAGAATGAAAATCATAAGCAATGCAGACCGGCTTGCATCAAGGCCACCCAGCACCACCAACCGCCACAAATGCACCACAGGGTTCATTTGTGCATGTCCGCGCAGCGACCAAGTGGGTTGCCCTGCCAAGCCGCTGCTGCACTCAACAATGAAGACAACGAGCGACGATTTCGGGACACAATCGTGCTTCCGCGCGGACACGCTCGACGCTCGTTGATTCACGAGTGAAGCTGAACGACCAAGGGATTTGATTCGTTCTTACACCATGGCTCATTTCAAAACGGTTGACTCTCCCCCCCCCCCCCCA